CTGACTATTCTTCCCATAATCAGCATCATGGTCATGACTTCAATGATGTTTGTGGGCCACAGTCAAACGACAATGTTATTCGCCCGGACGATCTCGTACCGACATGCCGCAGGCAGCAGTGCCCCCATGAGTATATCTGTATTATAGTTCACAAAGAGAGTCCTCGTGTATAGACACTATTTGAATACCATTTCAAAACCGAGTTTACCAGTTATTGGACAAGACAATGCAGAACGTTCTGCTGTTGATTGCGGACGATCTCGGGAAGCAACTTGGCTGTTATGGTGCGAAGACCTGTAAGACACCTAATCTGGACGAATTGGCGGCAAAGGGAACCAGATTTACCCATGCATTTGCCAGTACTGCTTCGTGTAGTGCGAGTCGATCTACAATATATACAGGTCTACACACACATCAGAACGGACAGTATGGGTTGAACAATGGACGGCATCACTTCAGCACTTTCAATAACATCGAAACAGCACCTGCTCTTCTACGAAAGCAAGGATACCTTACTGGGATTATTGGAAAGGTTCATGTTGGTCCAGAATCTGTATACTCATGGGAGGTTCGCGAAGAAAGCGACACTCGGGACGTGTGCTGGGTCGCAAGTCGCACAGCTGATTTCCTCCGGCGATCCAGGTCGGAAAACAAACCATTCTTCTTGACAATTGGGTTTATTGATCCCCATCGTGACCTCACACGTTCGGGATTTGGAAATGACGATATATTCGATACATTAGTAGAAAGAGAGTGTTACTCTGAGGCAGATATCGAGATCCCAGATTTCCTCTCTGACCTTCCAGGCGTCAGAAGCGAGTTCGCGAATTACTATCAATCAATCAGTCGCATGGATCAGGGAGTAGGCCTGATACTCAAAGAATTGGAAAGTCTGGATGTAGGGAAGGATACTCTCATCATATTTCTCAGTGATAATGGCCCTCCATTCCTCAATTCCAAGACAACCCTTTACGATGCAGGCGTATGCTTGCCATTGATTGTGAAGACACCTGGAAAGGAGTTGTCCACAGTGAATCCCAACATGGTTTCCTATGTTGATATTCTTCCGACCATTCTCGACTTCACACAACTGGGCGAAGCAAATAAAGGGCATCCGCGCCGACTAGGCCGGTCACTCTTGCCTATTTTGGCATCAAGGTCAGAATTACCAGACTGGGGCGAGGTGTACGGGTCGCATACCTTTCACGAGATTACCAACTACTGGCCGACACGATTTGTCCGTAACAGGCGATATAAATACCACCGGAACATTGCATGGCGCCTTGACTTTCCATTTGCTGCTGACATATATGGATCTTTGACGTGGGAGGATATTCGCAACTCGGACACCAATCCCACTAGGAAGGTTGGTGGTCGCCTATTGAAAGACTTCTTTTTTCGACCACCTGAAGAACTGTATGATTTAGAGGAGGATCCCCTGGAGGTGAGAAATCTCGCCAGAGGTGCTCATTTCATCGAGGTGTTGCAGGAAATGCGTATGCAGCTTGAGACATGGCAGCGCCAATCAGAAGATCCGTGGTTGTATCGAGACGGTGTATCATTGCTTTTAGTACAACACCACCTCGATGCCGGGCTGATAATGCCAGATCGTTGGGATTTGGATGTAGAGCAGCCAGATAGTAGAAGGGTCGGTCTTGCCGCGTATCAACAAGGGGAATGGGGCAGCCATAATGTACAATCCTAATATGTCAGCAGATACATCGATGCAAATGCCCGTCAGTTTGACAGTCTAGGTGACTAAGAAAGGCCCTTTGTTTGCAGTAGATAACGATGGAAAAGCGCGGCTGTGATACTTTGATGACGACTAACTCCGATAGAACAGGGAGGAATAAAGAAGGAAGGAATACACGCGGAGAATTTGGCTGGGGATGACATGGCAATCTGGAGCATTTGTGGGGAAGTGGACGTGGTGCCCAACTCTGGGGAGCTTGAAAGCACCCTAATTACAGTAGCCTGGTCAACCAAACCTAGACTCAGATCCTTGCCTTGCAATATTGTGCCACACGCGGGGCATTTGCTCGAGGTACTCATCTGCACAATCCGGAGCAATGGCGAAGCGATCGTGGACCGATGCGAATGTAGCTTACGGCGACCAAGGACTGACATCTTCAGGCCAAGACGGTCCCCTGGCTAATAACCTGATCGCTGATCACAATGCTGCAACAGGGGACGCAAGCGGCCCTAATGTCCTGGCCAACACCAACGAGCCCTTCTCCAAGTTTGGCCGGAAAGCCAAAGCCTGTGCTGCTTGTCGAAAGCATAAGGTCCGAGCCTGCATGCCCACGTCTTTATAGATTCAGCTAAGATGCTCACTACAACGTTCGTCTAGATCAAGTGCGTGCTAGAGGACGGCGGCCCGCCAGTAAGCAACCGCTACAACTCTATCTGAAGCCATGTTCTGGGGTTTGCAGGCAAAAGCCCAAAAGAAACTGGGACCCTAACTCCTGAGATGTCTCCATGATAGCCTCTCCTGCTTCCATTGTTTTCTGTAGGGAATTACTAATTCCAACTTTTGCAGTGTCGTCGTTGTGCCAAACACGATTTGGAGTGTGTCCTAAATAGACCTCTGCAGACCATCATCGACGAGGGAACTCGGTAACGCAGGAGATTCGAGTCACCATTGCTGATCAATTGCACTCTAACGGTTCTGCAGGCATAACGAAGCGATCTTCCGGGACCTCGAGAACATGCACGCAACTCTGAGGGAGCTGACAAGGAAAGCTGGCCTTCCAGACCCCAATATGCTTCAGACAAAGGTCTTTCGCATATCAGGGAACTTGATTCCGGTGCTTACAGAGTCTGCTTCTGAAATACACGTCGATGGTGGCGCTGAAGACGATGGCCACAGGGGCACCACGGCCACGGGGCAAGGTGACGGGGAGCTGTCTCGTGACGCCTCACCAGACCAGCCCTCTGTAAACGACCCTAATCTACCCCAAGTGCCCATTCATTCTCTATACGAACTCACCAAGTTAAGCGCTCTAAGGTCTCCGGATAACATACCTGGAGACCGTCGAAGCTGCATGGTAAACGACTTCATTGCTCGACGTGCCATCCAACTCGGTGTCGCGGAGCGTCTATATACCATGTATCGGGACCGCCTCGATGGTTTCATGTTTGCTGTTGGTTGTCCTTACCATTCTCTCGAAGAAATTCGCATGAAAAGTCCTGTCTTGACCGCTGCCATCCTCACCGTTGCTGCATTGCATGATCCACAGGCCGATCAGATCTATAAGATTTGTAGTTCTGAATTTCGTCATTTGATAGAACGCTCCATGTTTGATCGGAGCGTCAATATGGACTACCTCCGCGCCTTGTGCGTTGCATCTTACTGGCTCAGCGACATGTCGTGGATGCTGTCCGGCTATGCCATTCGACGCGCCTTCCAGTAAGCAAAATTCTATTTTCGCGTCACCTTCTGTAAAATCTATACCTGGGTTCCCCTGCTCGAAGACTTGAATGAGGATTGGGAACTTGCCCTAATAGAAAACCTAGGAGAGATTCCCTGCTTCTTCAAGATCTTAGAATCGAAATGCTAACATACGTTCTCAAAGGTACGAGCTGCACGACCAAGTTCACCGCGTGATTAAGGACCAGCGAAATGAAGAAGCTGCGGATGGCACGAGGCTATGGTTCATTCTCCATATCTCAGACCAGCGGCTAGCCATTCTGTACGGACGACCGCCCATCGTGCTTGAGCATCCTTCCATCGACGAGATCGAGAGCTATTTAGAGACTCCCGCCTCGAATGAACAAGACAAACGACTCATGAGTCAAGTTGCCTTATCAAGTATATTCAAAAGTATTCGAGAACTTTTTGGCCCCGATAGGAGACAGCCAATCCCAAAAGCATATGTCCATCAGATGACCCATTTCAACAAGCAGATTGACCACTGGTTTAATCACTGGTCAGGCATAATAGCCGGTAGGTGAAGATAACACGCAGGCTCAGCTCCATACAAGATATGCTCACAGCTCCTATAGAAGAATATGACGCTATTGGTTCTTTCCCGCGAAAGGCTGCGCGTCTGCACTTCTACTTTGCTAAGCTCCACCTGTTCTCTCATGCCTTTCGTGGCCTCTTGGGCAGTGATCATATTCCTCATTATCTACTAGATTGTGCGACTGCAGCCATTTCTGCCGCAGTCTCCAACATTGACCTGATCCTTACGGATCCAATCGTCTCCCTCTTCGTTGTGGGCATGCCCTCCTATCTTCACTGTGTAAGCTGTTCTGGACTTCACTGCTGCATTACAGCTAAGTAACAAAACCCCTGAAACACATTTGACATCAATACATTGGTTTCTATTCTGTTGTTATACTATGGTGGTTGAGTGCTCACTCTAGTTGCTATAGATGACTGCGTTCGCATGCATGTTTCTCATCAAGGTATCTCACAAGTACGGCAAAGATTTGATTGATCCAGAACGTGTGTGGGATCTATCAACCCGACTTGTCCGACACTTCCGATCTGTTCCGGCAAGCAAATGGCATCTCACGAAATTAATGACGTACAGATTAGAGCGGATAGCCACTATCTTGGATCCGAACGTGAGAATTGGGCGTCCGATTGAGCTCGCAACCTCACCAGTGGAAGCGGAAACAAGCCTTCAAGAGTACAACACACATCAACATCATCCTGTGTCAGAGCCGTGCCTTATGGCTCATGAACCACCAATGATCGAATTTCCGAGCGACCCTTTTTTCGATTGCAATTTGGATTTTGGTCTTACACCAATGTTTCCTTTCGAGTCGATGGCACCTAACATTGATAACATGCCATTCTGATGTATGTCAGTAACAAAATTGGAGCATAGGGTTTATTTGATTCAAGGATACAAAATCACTGCTTAGGAGCCCATTTGAAGGGGAGGGGGTCTCGCTTGGGATGTGCAGGGAGGGAAAGAAGGGAGGTGGTGCTTTCTGTATTGATGACATATTTTCAGACGCGACTATCTATTTGATTTTTACAGAGTCTTCTAATTGGGTGTGGTTAGGACCTTTTGCAAATTTCTCCTTACTGCATCTCCCATTTCTCTGGTAGAGGCCGACCCGCTCATGTCTTTCGTTTTGATACCGGCGGCGAGCGTCATATGGACAGCGATCTCGACGGCTTGAGCCTCCTGCTCCATCGCAAAACTATAGCGGAGAAGCAGGGCGACGCTAAGAATAGCTCCAACTGGATTGGCAATTCCCTGGCCAGCTATATCTGGGGCGGATCCGTGAACTGGTTCATAGAATCCCTTAGTGGGCTTGTCGCCCCATTTCTTGCAGGGGAGATCGGCCAGGCAAGCAGACGGGAGGACGCCCAGAGTGCCAGGAATGACACCGGCCAAGTCAGACAAAATATCACCGAAAGTATTGTCTGCGACAACGACACCATTGAACATTGTTGGCTTCATCATCATGAGAGTAGTCGCACTGTCAGCCAACTGATGAACTACTTCGACCTCGGGGTATTCGTTGGTGATTGTCTCCTGTACGACGCGGCGCCATAGCCGGGAAGAAGCTAGGACATTTGCTTTGTCGCAACTTATGACGCGCTTGACAGGAACTGCGTCAGACATGGCGAGATGAGCAGCCATTCGGGCAGTGCGTTGAATCTCAGACTTTTTGTAAGCCCAGAGATCTGAAGCATAATCCGGTTCCTCCGTCTTTGGCCCGTAGAACGCACCACCGCAATTTTCTCTGAGCACAATGAACTTTGTGCCTTTGACAACCTCCTCCTTGAGCGGGGTCCGACCTCCAGGAAAGTATTCGCAAGGTCGAATATTGGCGTAGACATCGGTGACCTCACGAAGTCGGAGGGTGGCACCTTCGGGGCCTTCGAAGCCATGCCTCATGCCATCCCACTTGGGACCGCCAACAGAGCCCATGAGAATGGCATCGGCATTCTTGCCCTGCTCGAGCGTCTCTTCGGTAACCGAGACACCATGCTGGTCAATAGACGAGCCCCCGAACGGTCTGTGGATGTATTTGAAGGTGGCACGACTGTTTGGAAGGGCACTTAAAAGATCGAGCACGGCAGTGGCCTCGTTGCAGACCTCGGGCCCAATGCCGTCACCACCAATAACGAGAAGAGAGAATTCGGGCTTCGACATCTCTGCAGCAACTAAGAAAGTTTGTAGTGTGGAAGGCTGTGTAACAGCAAAGATATCTTGCGGTCGTAGCTGTTTTGAAAGAGAAGAGTTGGTGCTACTAATTTATGTAATGCATGCTGGGATGTTTCCCGGCCACTTTATGAATGTTTGTGGAGTACAATGAGAAAACGACGATTCCGGGCCTGGCTTAACATCGCCATGATAGACTATCCGTCTCGGCGGCCGTTTCATGGGTATCGTAGTGCTCTTTGCTCCTTGTGCAACCCAATCCGAGCTTGTTTAGACATATGTACAGTCGGCCACTTCGCCGATTATGATCATCAAAGGCGAGTTAGATTGCGTGTCAGATATCGGAAATCGGTGTCCTTTACCGAATCTCATGATATACCCCGCAATATGCTAAACTTGCTGGTGTCTTAAAGCTAACATTTCACTCCACTTAAGTGTTCTTGCGAGGCCGGGCCCAGGGGCAACAAGGTCATCTTTGATGAAACTGGCCCGGCGGAGAGCCGTCATTGGCTGCATTTATGGCCGATCCTGCATTAGTGTCGAACCCACCACAGTGGTAGACAAACCCCAGCTACGTGCAATTCGGTTCAGGCTAGAAAAGATGCCGGTGGTGGAGTGTGGATGAGAATGTGGGAGCCTCTCCTGGCTATGCTCTGAGAAGACTTGACAACGATTTGAACCTATCAGATCAGATTCCCCATGGGGTGCTTTTGGAGGCTCTCAATACGCGGGTCACACCTGGAGGCTCAGATTGGCCATATAAGGAAGGCTTGTGCATTCCCTCTCGTCAAACTAACCATACTTCGCATTCTGCCTGATTTTATTTCAGTCGCTTCAATCTATACAACGTCGTTCAACAAGTCAAATTTCTGGGGAGATGCTGTGAAAATGGCGTCTATCACCGATAACAATAAGATTAAGCTTGAGAAGGCCGGTCTAGAGGCCGTCAAGGACTCCACCAAATATGAACACGAAGAAACCTTGGTCAAATCAATCATTACTGAGGGTGATATCGACGCTTTTGGTAGTCACAAAAAGAAGACTGACCCCGCGGAGATTGCTCTTGTCAGGAAGCTTGATATGTGGATAATGGTAAGTTATTTTCGCAACCGTCATTTTCGATGTGTATGCCGTTACATCCTTTTACTCCATCATCATTTCACTAAGTATTAATCGCGACCGAGGGCAGCCGATTCTTTGGGTTATGTACTTTCTCAATTTCTTAGATCGAAACGCGATGATTAACGGCAAACTCGATACTCTTGCACAAGACTTAAACCTCAAAGGTACCGAGTATAATACCTGCGTTTCGATTTTGTTCGTAGGCTATCTTGGCGGCCAAGTCCCGTCTAATATGCTGCTCGCTCGTGTCCGCCCCTCTTGGTATATGGCTGGTAAGTTTCTCATTCATATACGGTGATGTTGATTTTAACAAAGCCCTTGGTCTAGGATTTATGGTAGCCTGGTCAGTCGTTAGTCTGCTGACATACATGGCACACGATTATCACTCCATGCTGGTGTGCCGCTTATTGCTCGGAGTCGTAGAATCCCCAGTACGTTCCAATTTTGTTGAACACTCAGATGCTTGATAATTATCACTGACACTGTTTGCTTAATAGTTCTATCCCGGAGCTCTGTACATGCTTAGCATGTTCTATACCAGGAAAGAAATTGCAACTAGGATTTCTGTTTTTTACACTGGTACAATGGCCGCGAGCGCATTTGCTGGAATGATGTCGGCTCCCATATTCACCAATTTGGGTGGAAAGATGAATCTTGCAGGGTGGCAATGGTTAGATCACCTATACTATATCTATACAAGGAAATGTTGGCTAATGAACAGTTGAAGGGTCTTCATCATACAAGGCGCCATTTCACTCTTTGTTTCTCTGTTATCTTTCTTCATTCTGCCTGATACTCCCTTGAAGACTTGGTGGCTAACCGAAGAGGAGCGAGAACTGGCAGGTATGTGCGCTTGAAATACACATTATGATCATTCTCGCTGAATCGCAAGATCAGATAGGCGGATTGCCAAAGATGTTACCCAACGACGGGAAGCATCTACAAGTGTTTGGACAGGACTTCGCGAGGCCTGTGCTGATCCAAAGACCTGGCTATTCTGCCTCATGGACTGCTTTCACCTATCCGCAAACGGCTTCAAGAACTTTGTTCCTACGCTGGTCAAAGAACTTGGACTTAACACGACTACGGCACTGATTCTGACATGCCCCCCGTACATTCTTGCTGCCTTCGTGACCATCTTCCTTGGTTATAATAGCGGGCGCATGAATGAGCGCACATGGCACACCACAATTTCCAAGGTGTGTGCTATTGCAGGATTTGCCATTTGTGAGTCGACGCTTAATACCTGGGTGCGATACTTTGGCGTGATGCTCTTTGTTAGTGCCTCGTATGGCGTCAACACCATTGTCCTCGGTTGGGTCTCAAGTGTTCTCGGCCAATCCGACGAGAAGAAAGCGGTAGCTCTGGCGCTTTGCAATACGTTCGGCAACTTGTCTGCAATATACACGCCATATCTCTGGCCAGACTCTGACGCACCTCGATTCGTGATGGCTATGACTTCATCCATAGCTTTTTCCGCTGCTGTCATAGCTTGCGCGTGGGTTATGAGGATTATCTTACAGAGAGACAATAAGAGATTGCGCGAGCAAAATCCGGACGTCACCAATCTGTACGTATACTGAACAATATAAGAGGGCAGCGAGACCTTAAGGGCAACAGTCAAGTTACTACAATACAATTGTGTAGATGGCATCATATAACCCCATTTTGTGTGTTCATGCGTATTACATAGGTCCAACTCGTCTTGATGCATCCTGAGCCAACTTCGCCCTCGCCCTCGCCCTCGCCACTCCAATGCTCCTTCTATTCGTGGCTGGCACCTTGTATTCGAGTTCACGTTCAGTACGATGCCTCTCCCAAAAGTCGTGGTTCATTTCCTTTCTAAGCCGTTTCTTCTCTTTCCTGACTGCCATTTCTTCTTCTCGCCTCTTTCGCCGCTCGATCAGTTTCTTTGATGGTTTCCTAGTTGCAGTGTGATATCTTGCCTTTCCAATCAACCACGCTTTTGCCTTTTTCTTTTTCTTCGCGACTTTATGATGAACGTAGTGTAAGAAGCGCCTTACATTGGTACTCCATGCCACAATGAGTGAGGCGACTATCAAAACAGCGGATACTGGGAGAGAAATCCAGCCAATTGTTCGGAGATCGAGGAAGTTCTCTCCGCCCCATTCTTGAGTATTCATTCCAAACAGACTCGTAAAGAACATCAACGGTAGAAAGATAACAGTAAATGTGGTAAAAATCATCACGGATCGATTTTGAGCACTCGCGAGGTCAGCCTGTTGTCTTGAGAGACGAACCTCGTCGACCTGAGCTTGACGCTGGACCATTTGAAGAAGCTTGTCGAAGTCTTGCCGCGTTGATTTTACTCGCTCAATCATCTCCTTCGTTTGTTTCTGGTAGTCCTGCAGCCTGTCAGAAGCCTCGACAAGAAACGCAATACCATTGTAAGTATGCATATCATTTTCCGGTAATGTGTATATATGCCTCATTTCGCGAATCCGTTCCTCTTGCTCTTGGAATAAACGAAGCAAAGTACCTAACTCATCTTCAATGTCCCGTAGCTCAAGCAGAGCCGAGGTGTTGTCGCGATTCTCTCTCTCTGCTCGTTCGCCCTCCTTCTTATGTCGGGCCCTGATTGAGGTACTCTTTGTTTCCACCTCATCGTATTCAAGAGACTTGTCCCGGAATCCCTGGATGCGAAATCTTTTCAAGGATGATGTCATTTTCTCAGTCTAGTGTGACACGGATTAGCCTCTATCCATGAACCATCGAAGCTGGGCATACCAATATGCTGATGGCCTCTTCGAAAATGCGGAAAATGTCTAAGTCGGGGTGCGCTGATCGATCCATAAGAACGGTAACAGCATGGAGTGCTGTAAGAGCCGCCAAATCCATCGCGTTTTCACACTTTCTGGTTAGATCAGCATTGATTTCGTTGTATACGCTGTCTCGAAGATCTGCTCGTTGATAGAGCGGGCCTTCAGTCGGCTCGCATTCGCGCCTCGGGAAAAAGGTCACGAGGGTTTCTACAAAGAATTGGTTAGCACACTGCGAGTCTGTCATGAACTGGTAGTTGGGTGGTAGGCGCACTTGTGTCAATCGTCCACATCCAAAGCTGATCTACCATCAGCAAATTGCCATTCAGAACATCGTCTCCTAGCTGAATCTCTTCATCTTCCTCTTCAACTATATCCGTGTCGGAATTCTCATCCTGTTGATCTTCATCCAAAGAAGCATCATCTCCTGACGCATCCTCGTTACGATTTCTTTTCTCATGCGCCCCTCTATAGAGCCCAGGCTCACGCATGCCGTTAGCATCAACCCGCTCCTTGGTCATTTTGTAAAGCATCTGGTCATCGTCACGAGCTCTTGTATCATGAAGAGATGGGTACCCAAATTGATCCAAAGTCCGACGGCAATTTATTGGAGGGTCATGGCCAAGAAACTCCCAAATTACACGTAATTCCAAGGAGTCTGTTTTGGAGACAGTGGAAGGTACAGGTCGAGTCCTGCCTTGGCCTAACCTCCGTCTGATCATTTCCCGTCGTCTGATCACGGCTTTATACGAATCGAAGTGAAGAAATGGGAGGAACATATATATGGAGGTAATGAAAGAAGGTAACTGAACACTTCCTCGCATTGATATAGAGCTTGGGGATGCTTTATGAGTTAGAAAAAATGCTTCGTGACATGAATTATGGTCTTACATGGACGTGGGGAAATCCAACTACACACAGATTTGACAAAGCATGCGTGATGTTGAGAGTGTCGACCTCGAACGTGCCGCGTTGCCCAGTGTTCATGGCTGAATAGCTCCGAGAAATTTCGGCCCTCATCGCTTGTTATAGACAGCGTATCAAAGACTCTCTATTCAGTCATGAGACAAGACATCAAAAGACACATTA